CGGAGAGGACCCTCAGGATGACCGACCCAGGGACTTGATACGAGTAGGCGATCCCAGACATAGTGTCAAAGGTATGAAGGTAGTAAATAGTCAAGGAGGTACGAGTTGGGACTTGATGCCGTGTGTCCTTCAGGGTTTTTGAATGTACGACAAATACAAGGTCGCACAGGATACTTATACCTCACCCCCCAACTTTCTCCTGTGCGCAGGTCTCATACAAGACCCCGGCCCGCCCTTGTTCTATTGTTATCGAGGCGCACCAACCGGACATGAAAAGGGGGGCGCGAAACCGTCGCTCTTAATTTAAGGGGGTGTCTTGGACATAAAGCTTCACCCGCCATGGCGATGCTCCGTTATTAATAGGTCCAGACCGTTCTTGGTTGTCCTCGATGTAGAGAGTGGAAGAGGGGGTTTAAACTACGAGCGTCCAGAATGGAACAAGGAAGCCTTTGTTTGAAGCCAGAAGGCTTATACATTCGGCCCCAGCGGTCCCATTTGGATAGTCGGACTGCTTTGAGTAGACCGTTTCCCATAGATGTTGACAGCACACCAGGCACGAGCGTCTTGGCCGGTGAGTTACACATGTACTCTTCGGGGGAAGATGTGGGTTGGGTGGTCACTTTAGGGGGCCGACTGACTCTGAGGGTTGGAATTTGGGATTTGGATGCCTCGAGGTACGAAGATCGGATTTATGAACTATTTTTGGCGGTTGTCCGGAATGAATACATGGGTGCTCCGGTTTGTGACGATGTTTTTATCGCCTTTGGCGGGTTGTTGAGTATGTGAGTTTTGTTTTATGAAGTTTTGGGTGTTGAGAGTAGTGTTGAGTTCGACGAAGGGGGAGTCAGGCCGGGAGGGGAGCGTTTGAACATTCAAGTTGGGATATTTGCTATGGCTCCGAAACGAGTTGGGGGGGATTCGCATTTTGCCGAACAAAATGGTTGACTTTGCATCAATGAATCAATGTTTTTGTGATCAAGTTCCTGATACATCATCATTTTTGAATACAAACCAGGATCAGCTTATCATCAATCCTCCTTCGATTATGTCGCGGTAGGAGTCGAGGTGTTACCGTGATCACAGCCTGGTCATGGGTTCATGCCGTTCTCTGAAGCCGGTACAAGGCTGTGGTACCCACCTTCGAGAAGCCACATTGTCACCTGGAAGAAATACCCTCTGGATACACCTGGCGTGTTTCCCGGCTCTGTATATTGAATACGCATCATCGACATGGACCCCATTTCGATGACCATCAGTGTTGCCACAATTCTAGGGAGCATCATCAAGCTCGCAGAGGAAATCAAGGGGTCACTCGAAAAAGTATATCTTTCCAATCATCATCTGGCATTCTGGCTAAATGTTAACTTGGAATTAGGTCCCGAAGAACAGAAAAAACCTGCAAAGACTTTCCGAGGATGTTCTCAGAGGTCTACTTGAACTTGGAAGGTTCTACGACGAGCGTGGACAGGTTTTAGACGGGTCTGCAGAGCTTCGAGAAGCCCTCTACAATCTCTCTTCGTAAGGCTGGGATTTGAATAATAAAGAACATAGCTTGAAATTCGGCCAGGAACATACGATCTATATACGCACGATGCTGCCTGAAATCTTCCTCTAAACCCCACGGCCCCATCATCAAGGCGATGGCTGGTTTCAAAGCATGGTACAAGGCCAATGAACTCGAGGCTGAAATTTCGGCTTTGAGGAATGAGGTACGGGAATGTTACATACGGTTTACTGTGAGTCTCGAGCTGTGTATTTCCAGGCTTGATTACTGAATTAGAACTCTAGGTATTCGCGGTAGCCAGGTTAGATAACCCTGTGACGAAAATTGCAATGTCGACCTCGAGAATCGAAAATCGGATGGCTCTTTTAGACCAACACCATAGAGCGGGGCTGTCCCGCATAGAGGGTGTTGTTGCAAATCTCCAAAGAACGGGGTACGACATGCAGATCACGCCCGCTGTCACAGGTGCTGATGCCAAAACCTTGACGGTATCATCACAAACGATCGAGAATTTATACCTCCACCAACAAGTCCAAATAGTCGCAGATTCCTTCAGCCGTCTAGCAACGACCACGAGAGTCTCTCAAGGCGAGCCTAATGGGCCGTATAAACATCCTATAACCCCAACCATCATTTCGTATGACAACTCGCTGGTGTATCACCGCCACACCGTTTCTATCGCGTTAGAAATCCTGCGCGTTCTCGAGGACGGACCGAGCAAGCTTCAGTTACAAATCTGCGCCTGGAATATGGTCAACCTTGCAATTCGTCTGCATAGCCTCGAAATGTATGGAGATGCGGTGGTTATGGGCATTTGGACAGTCGACCTTTATAGGACCTTGGTGACAACGGATGCTCCCGCCTTCGAACCTTACCTCGCCCTCGCCTTGCATAATCTTTCACGTTATTATGTTGATGTTGGTGACGACTACAAGGCAGAGGTGGTTCTTCACGAATCGATCAAATCACTACGTAATCTTGCCCGTACCCGATCCCAAACTAATATCCGCCTTTTGTTATCGAATTCCTTGATGGCATTATGGTCGATTGTTTCGAGGAATAAAGGCATTGAACAAAGCTTGAAGACTGCGCATGAGTCACTTGCTGTCCTTGAAGCCGTTCAGGAAGATCCTACGCAGGGGCCCCTGTTGATAAATGAACAGCCTCATAGCATGGAGCTTTCGGCTGTCACTCATCCAGCTCTTCGAAATAGTCCCATGGTGAAAAAAATGTCTCAAATGAAAATTCCTCCACATCCAGACGATAATACCACTATGTGGTTAGAATTCAATATGGCTCGTGCATCCTATGGGTTATCATGTAGCCTTTATGATTTGGGTCAGTATTCCGAGGCGCTTGAGATGGGAAAGAGGTCTTTTGAAATTTTATCCCCTCTTGCCCATCAGTATCCCGGACGGTTTGAGGCTACCCTAGCAGGGTGTCTCGCCCACTTATCCCAGGATTTCATTGGCGTACATCGCTCTATTGAGGACATCCTATATTTTTCTGGGAGAGCCGTCCAAATCTATCGTCAACTGGACTGCACGCGGCCAGATAAGTTCACCCAACCCCTGATCAAAACCCTCTGGGAGCACGCTATTCTACTCGCAGAAAATGGAGAAGACGAAGCCGCCAAGGGTGTTGCCGAAGAAGCTGTTGGTATTGTCCGGCGATCAGAGACAGATCAAAGACTTCTAGCAGAGGCCCTCTACTATTCATCATGGATTCTACAACATCTAAGCCTCATCGAAAGTGCCGTTAATCTTGGGAAAGAGGTTGTGGCTATTTACCGTGAGCTCGCCACGGAACCAGACACAAGAAAAATTCTAGCCGATAGGATGTGCAACTTGTCATGTAAGTTGCACGTAGCGGGTCAGCTAGACGATGCGGTCGTGGCATGTCAAGAAGCTGTCGATGTCTACCGTTCTATTGTGAGCTCCAACCGTACCAAGTCTGAAATTGCGGGCCTCGCTGTTAGCCTGTCGCATTTAACACATATAGCGAGTATTGCTCAGAAGCCTGACTTGGCGCTGGAGGCAGGGTCGGAATCTCTTGAGTTGTACCGAGAGTTTGTATATGATGATGACAGCCTCGTTCAGGACTTTTTGATTACGCTGCGAAGGACTTCCTTCACTACCTGCTATTCCGATAATCCACGGGCCATTACCCAGAGTGCCTTGATAATTAGCGACTACAGGACTTTGAAAACATACTATCCATACCTGGACACCCGATGGGGATTGGCCAGCGCCTTTGGAGATCGAGATTTCGTATTAGGGAAATATCGCTTGTTTCACGAAGCCCTCCTCAATTCTGAACAACTTGCAATGACAGTTAGGTCTATTTCAGAGGATAGTGTAGAGGCGGCCATCACATTCGTCGATGGTCTTTACGTCCATGCAGGGAACCTCTCAAACGTAGGTCGTGTAAAGGAGGCGATAACGGTCTGTGAAGAGGGTATATCTCGAGCCAGGGGAATTCGGAACAACCTCATGGACCAAGACATTGACCTGCCACTGGCCGACATGCTTTATCAATATTCCCAGTGCTTACGTGCTGCTGGTCGAGATACTGAGGCATTTGCGGCCAGTGAGGAAATGTTAGCCATATATCGTCGTCATTCATCAAACGAAGACAAGATCTGCGGCCTACGAGAACATTCTATCAACCTGCTAAAAGCACGGCGCTACATGGAGGCGATAGAATTGGGGGAAGAGGCAGTGAAGCGCTGTCGCCAGCTGGATTCCGCGGCAACACTCGCGGATTTCATACTACCCTATGCATTAGAGTCGCTCTCAACTTGTTTGGCCGAGATCGGGGATGAAAATCAGGCTCTGGCAACAATTGAAGAAGCTGTAAAGTTTTACCGTATGTCAATATCCAATGGACGCGTTACCAGTATATGGGCTTACGTAGAAGCCCTCTATGCTGACGCCCTGGTGAATCTTGCTCGTCGATCAATGATGAAGGAAGACTGGGCCATCGCTGAAACAGCTCTTTTCGAAGCAAAGAATATTTACCAGAGCCGCGCGGCAGTCGCTCCAGGGTGTTGCGCAGATTTGGCAATTACATTAGACTTGACTGCCCTACTTCTACATGCAGTTGGCCGGAATAGCGAGGGCATGCTTGTTATACAAGACTCGACTGAGAGACGGCTTCGCCTTGAGGCGTTATATCCCGAGGTTGCAGTACTTATCCAGACAGCCCTAGAAGATCTGGAAACTAGACCATCCCAGCTGGCGCTCCGCCAAAAGATATTGATTATAGAATGAGTACAGTAGATCCATACGTCAAGGCAAACCCATAGAAATAATGCATATACACTGTATAAATATTGTTGACAACTTCGAATACCAGAGAGCCTTCGCGAGAGCGGAAGTTCACTGCTAAAAAGAGTTACAAGAGAATGCCAGCTTGATCTATGCCTCCTTTCCCCTATCCATCACCCACGGAAAATCAGGATGATGTAGTGAATATAGAGGCATGTAGACGATGATAACCCAGCCCTGACTTGAACAGGGGTGTACTTGAGTGTCAAGTCGCGTGAAACCGCTCCGCCACTGGGTTGTAGATCGTGCCCATCGACCACAACATGTGCGTCGTGCGCAGGAAACCGAAAAATGGTAAGGAGGAAAAAAAAACGAGAATTTAAGCAAAATATGAACATCATGTGATCGGGTTGCCTGCCCTAAACTGTTCTGCTCATGGACAACTTATTTTTTGCCAACAAGATGAAGAATTCGAAAAGCGCCACGTATATAGCGCCATTTATATATTCATGAAATAATACACCCATGATAAAAAACATTAAATAAGTATGCCCACAATGTGTGGCAGGACGGTTGAATCAGAGTCTGAAAAGGCGACTCCTGCGAGTTTTCTCATCTGCGGATTCTGCGGATGCTGTTGCCTTGGGAGAGGGTGCGGCGCCCGTCTTAGGAGCTGCCTCACCATCAGCTTTGTGTACGGACGCGGGAGCGGCGGGTGTCTTATCCACAGCCGTGACTGAAGAATGTGGGGCGGCGGTTGCGCTGGCGTGCGCGGTTGCAGCTTTAGCGAAGCATGCGCCGCTGTCCGTCCAAACACCAGCAGCGCCTAAAGATAACGAGGTGAATACTATGTATCTCAATTCATCTCCAAAGCATACCTCCAGGAGTATCTAAATGAAGGCATCGTTAAGTTAATTTGAATCTAATTTGAGAAATCAATGACCATACCAGCTTGTGTCCACCATTTAGCCGTCCAGAGGTGACCGCTAGAAAGGATATGAGATAACACAGTATGCATCTTGGTCTATAACTGACTTATAAGTAACCTGTGAACCACCGACGTACTAAAGACCCGTAGCTTTAGCGAAATACGTCATAGGACTAAAGATAAAAGTACGCACAGCGATACCAGAAGTCCAAGCGGCGGCGCCGCCACACCCAGTGCCACCACCAGGAGTAGTAGTAGGGGTTGTCGTTGTCCTGGTTGTTGTGGGTGTCGTAACAATTGTTGTCCCCCCGGTACCTGATCCCATCGCGTTCTTGATGGCAAGGTCATATCGTCCGTTACCTATCACACCTCAATGTTAGAACTAAATCAGATTTAGGGGAACAATTTTACCATAGGCTTGCGACACATCCCAGAGCATGATACCACCAAAGGATGAGAATTGAGCTCTGGTCTGTTTGGCTATGTTACCCAAAGTTGCAGCGTCGACGTAGCCAGATCCTGCTGCGCTCGGTGCAGCCGGAGCCCCGATGTAAACTTTGACGTTACGGTTAGGAGAGACTGTCTTTGCCCAGTTATCCCTGAAGAGAAATGGTCAGCTCCTTCCAGATAACAAAACTCTGTGCCGCCGACCATTGGTTGAAATTCCAAGCCTATATAAGTGTAAGCATTTCGGAGTAGGGCCAGAGGCTCGTGACTTACGTTGGGATTGTTAAAGTTCTGGACGCCGCAGAAGTTGTTGTACTACGAATGGAGTATTAAGGAGATGCCCTGAGTATATATCATCAAACACTTACACTGTAACAGAATCGTAAGTAATCTGGGGCGCGTGGATAACAAACAACTTACACTTAATGGTTGTGGTAAAGGAACACAAAACATCAGATTTCTGCTCCTCAAAAAAATGAATAACTTTTTTCAACTTACACTAGAAAAATGAGCGTTAGTGACTGTAAACGGGGTGAGGGATGAGGTCGACGTACTTGTACATATACAGCATCGAAGCCAACAGCGTTGAGAGTTGAACCTAGCCATGCATCGGGGAAGGGGCATTGGGGAGCAGCGGTGACGTAATACCTAGAGTTGCATTAAGCCTCCAAGTTTGAGCGTGTCAGTCAGCGGGACGGGACAAACTTTTTACTCGCGCCATTAGCATGGGACCGGATTCTAGTCACAAATGCTGCATATCCTGTGCTTGAGCCACCTTCGATATCCAAATCAACACTTGCGAATTGTGTTAATTTAAGACTTAATTCCGGTAAGAACTACATACCCATCGAGAACGGCATCGCCAAAAGGTCGGGTCGAGCTGGAACCACCGAGGAATAGGTTCCAAACGGTGTCTGCGAAAGTCTGTGCTTGGGAGTCCGAGGTGAAAGATGCTGCACCAGTTGCTCCGCCGAGACTGAGCGTGACTATTTTGCCGCGAGCCTGGCAGGCTTTGATTCCAGACGCGAGGAATTGGCAGTTCGCAAGATTCGTTCCCGGGAAGACTCCTGTGTTGGAGCTGCAGGTCTAAAAAGAGGATGCTATTAGTTAACTACGGCGTGGTCGTATAAGCCAGGCTACTAACATTGGCCATATTGATTTCAGGCAAACCTCCGGCGGAGAAGAAGACATTCATGAAGGCAATTGGGATGGCATTGATGGCATCATCCTAAGAGGCAGTAAGTTTTTAGTGGTGGAGTTAACCTGAGTGGGGAACTTACATTGCAGTAAGCCGAAATATCCTTCTGCCAATTAGCTGTGTCGGAGTGGGTTGCACCGTAGGAGTTCTGGCCATAATATCTAAAGCGATCAAATGAATCAATTGGGTATCGTCCAAAAGCTGTACGAGATGTTCTTACATTGCCAACTACGATACCGACTCGAGTTAGTGCATGCCTTTCGACCCTAAAAGCAGAAACCACACATACATTGTCTGATCTGGAGTTGTCGAAGCCCACAGCTTGAAGAACTCCGGATGCCGCAAGGAGGCACCCTGTAAAGAGTTTCGAGAAACGTCCGGAGAAAACCATGCTCAACGACCAAGGAAGAAGGGGCGAGTAAAAATCGACAAAGCTAAAGTGTTTGTTTCCTCGCCTTTTATGCTCCTCGAAATGGACCAAAGGAGCAGAATCTTCGCGAACGCAAGCCCACAATGTTACATACGCGACATTGTAAAAAATAGGACCGTATGGTGGTGTATCAGATGCTGAACTTCGTGTTCATTGTGTCGCGTGCATTGGATGCGTGTGTATTCGATGTGATAAAATTTCCAGAGGAGATAAACGAGAGGCGTACTAATGTTTAGCAACGTGGCGGACCGAGTATCAGACGCTCCCCGAAGCGCGAACCATGCGCACCTACAATCAAGGATATAGAATTTGTGTGTATTTCTAGGTGTTTACTTGGTGGATTGTTGGGGGGACTGACATCACCTGAAAGAGAAACTCACCTACTACGACAGTTGCCACATGGCCCATTTTGGGACCGAAGACTAGAATAACTCCGGAAAAATAAATGTCGGCTGGGAGCCCCGATGTGACCTCAGCGCGACTGCATGCAGCAAATATTTGTGACGTTGGCACGAGGCTCGCAGCAGCATGTGCGAACCCATTCGTATTAACATCCATATGATCGCACCGCCGAAGGCGGGTGTTCACTGATAAGAATGCTGAGAATATATGAGTCGAGCTGTCTCAAGACAAAAGATCATCATGTGGATATAAATTACAGCTTTTTTGCTTCTAGCACCAGTTCAGTATAGTTCTCAGACCTCAACTGAGCAATGTGGAAGATGTTTGATGATGCTCCCCAAGGACGAAGCAAACATCGGTGGATTATAAATCAGGTCGGCCGAGAACGAAGGTTTGAAAAAAATGGTTGTGAATAGGGAAGCCATCATCATGCGGGTAATTCCCACATGTCGTTGGGTAGTCTGTGTATGAATCTTACACATAGTATGCAAGCGTATGTTGCACAGCTCAAACTGTCGTATGGAAGTGACATCCCTATTAAAAATTCCCTTGATCAAAACCGAGTAAACAAGATGGCAACGCTTACCAAGTACGTCACTATATAAAGTGAGAGATGGAAAATGTAAATATTAAAAAGGTTTTGGATAAGTTGTTGTGCACACTAAGGATACATATGCCTGTTCAAGACCAGGCGCAATGGTAACAACGATCCAACATGATCCAGATCATAGCGGGGAAAACTGAATGAGCGTGTAGTGGTGGTGTAATATGGCCACAGTCAAGTAGTCGATTGGTGAGGAAGGGGGTAAAAACAAAGCGCGAAAAACCACATCAAAGGTGGGTAATAGCTTTGGAATCCAACGGCATGCCTGATGAACCATGAGATGGAATGCAAAGAATAAGTAGACGTGGGAAACGGACCTGATGGATCGATTCCATTGCGCGCGAGAATACGGTTATGCCGAATCAACCTTGCTTGGTCAAAGCTAAAAATCAATAGTAATGAGCACCTTATGGATATTGATATACAAAGCTGAGCCGCCCACTTGACACGTTCTCTCCGCATGATCTCCATTACTTCTTGTGTCCCCTGCTCATCCAAGCCAGCTCGAGAATCGCCATCTCTCATATTGGCTTCAATATCAAAGGCAGAAGAGGTCATCCCCGCACTAGCTTGTTCTGAGAATGTCGATAGGGGTGTATAGTTATTGAGCCCAGGAAACAAGGACCTCATACGGCTTGGAATATGTGGAATCAGAGTGGCGCGATAGTGATACACTGAAGGCTTCTTAGTATCACGAACTAAAATCATATAATAGGAACTCACTTGCCACTACCAGAGCTATACATGCAGCTGCTAGGGAGTAATAGAACAACATTATACAAGATACAAGGGAGTTTTGTTAAGACAACATGGTGGGATAAACCCCTGCACGTTTCCCTGCGACTGTGGCTGTGTAAAAGCTGTGTACCACGTGTAAAAACTCTGTTCCTTAATGAGCTCCCCGCGTTTTTTTTCTAACTTACTCCTATGAGCACCAAATAGCAAGGAAATATGACGCTGTAAACACAGTACGAGCTAATTTCGTTTCCATTTTCCTCATTACGGTAGAGAAAGCTGCGAGTTGACATTAAATAATGTAAGTTTCGATTACCACTCAACAGGAGTCAGCCTGACAAACTTCTCCTATTTGTACACCTACAGTGAACTGAACTATCTGTCCTAAAACACCCTGTAATACTCTGCGCGGACTATATATTTTTCAAGTCTTGCTCGATCGAAATCCTAATGAACTCCCACTCGACCCTTTTTGAATCCTTTCAGGTAATATCCGCGTTTATACTCAAGCCATCTAATCAACATCAGCACAGAGAGAATTTTGCCCGCCCTTG